CTATGTGGAATTGAAAACAAAACTGGAGACACTATCGCAGTCACGAATATCTCAGTCATTGTTGACGGTAAGTACAGAAAACAAAGTCAACAGCTGTGTTACTAGCTATTGTATGCACACCGCATACATCATTTTAGTATTGTCAGTGATCATTAGGTCTTGAAAACAAAAACATTATATTGGGTCTTGAAAAATACTGAATTAAAATATGGTTAAAATGTCATCAATGCTTCACAAGCTGTAGTCTTTGCTTGTAATTTAGACGACATAGATTTTGACGTTATTGAAGAGTGTGTATTTTATTCAGCTGCAATTTCATTTTAAAGAATAAGAATAATCCGTCAATAATGAGGGAATATGCGTAAAAATCTTCAGGGATCGGAATTGCTCATTTAAGAAGTGTGGGTTAACGATTACGTAAAATATATCCATTACTAATAAATATTCATTCAGTTCACTAAAGATTAGTTTTACAAAAATTCACAGTTCATAAGCAATTTTCGAATTGACTCTTGTAGTCGTTTAGGTATTCTCTACCATGGCTATTTTTATCCAAGCGAACTACGTTCAGTTATTCTCTGCCATGGCCAGTAATATCCAAACATAATTCGCTGCAGATATAATTATGAGCGACGGAAAAGCTTTTTTATTTGGTTCAAGCAGCTAATTCGCGAGGCCTCACAATGTTCTAAAAATTGTGATAAATTGTTATTGGGATAGGCTCAAAATTCTTTATACTAATAATCGAAAATATGCTGTTTGTCACGTGTAACAATGAAAGATAAGATTCTATATTCGAGGTATAATAAAATAAAAGGGGGTGGTGGTGATGGTGTTAGTGGTGTCAGCTTTGGCAAATAGAAAACTCGGTTGATCAGGCTCCAATAAGTGAAGCTCTGCTATATATTATGCTTATCTGTACTTAAATTCTTACCAGTAGAATTGCTAGCCAAATTTAAGGTGAGTGCTAAAGATCCCATGAAATTCAATTCCTGGTCAAAATATAATTCATAACGAATTTACTCAACAGACATAACTTGTATGGTCATGCTGAACAAGATCAACGTTTTATTAAAATTCAATAAAGATATGCGATGTTTTGTTACTACAGTTTGAACAAATCCTAAAATGATAATACTAATCATAATTTGATATATGGCTAATTAAATATATAAGTTTTAGTGTTTAATATTTTATATATAGACTTTTATCATTTTGAATTAAAATTGACGGATTTTTTATAGACTTTGTCATTTCAGTGCATACGCAATTTCGTAGATATGGTGTACAGTGTAAATTGTTTAGCTATGTATCAAGACAGAACATATTCCACCGATATCCTTTGTTATATAGGGACGCAGTAGGATAATAACAATAAAAATTCAGTACCAAAAGTCAACTTAGACATTTCTGTCAGTCCTGGTTTAGTACTGAGAAATTGAAACGAAATAGCTGATATATATATATATATATATATATATATATATATATATTATATATATATATATATATATATATATATATATATATCTACATACATATATATATATATATATATATATATATATATATATATATATATATATATATATATATATATATATATATATATATATTATATATATATGTGTGTGTGTGTGTATGTGTGTATGTGTGTGTGTGTGTGTAGAGAGAGAGAGAGAGAGAGAGAGAGAGAGAGAGAGAGAGAGAGAGAGAGAGAATTGCGTTTGCAAATGTCCTCTCCATGTGAGTATCTTAACCTTTTCTCCAGCGCCCAAGCTAAGAATATCACCAATGTTCAACATCCAGATTCCCACAGACATGTATGCCAGCTTCCAATGCGCATGTCTTCCTGGCTATATGGAGTTTTGCGAGAACTATACCCTATCCTGGTCTCTGACAGGCAGATTTGACAGAACCGTGCAGAATATTTCCAGTGGGAATCAGCTTATTGGAGATCCACAACTCTATAACATCACCCAAGTGGGATCAGCCATCAACATGTCCTTGCTGTGTAAGTCAAGCTGTTGACATCAAGGTTTAACAAAATAACTAATACCGTTCAGCTCTGTCTATTACCTTTCCTTTTCTCCTACAGCTCTCTTATTCTCTTCATTATCATCATCATTATCATCATCATCATCATCATCATCATCATCATTTTGCTTCTCTTCTTCTGTCTCATATTCATCATCATAGCTGTGGTCATCTTCTTCTTCTTCCTCAAGAATCAAAAAATGATTGCTGTTAAGATTTTATGCTCTGGTAATTAACATATGTCAAACATTTTTTCTCTCGGCGTTTCTCTTATTGAACAATGTTTTCCCAATTGCTTATCAAAATCCGTTGAGACTTTCATGGCTTATAACTTCAAGCAGCATTTTTCTTTGTTGAGGACACTGAGCTTTGGGTTTCTTGGACGTTATAGTCATCTTTATTTTAAAATATGTTAAATGTCATGATTAATCAATCACAAGAAAATGTTAGTTTGAAAATGTTTTATTTCATAAATTGTGTAAATAGAGGTCCAGTATAGAAAGTAAATGAATAGAGCGAAATCCTTCTCATAACTATTGTTACTTTACAGTAAATATTCAAAATGTAAGTCTGTAACCGAGTAAAGAAATGTATACATATAATAAATTCGTTCTGTGAAGATCTGGAACACTATTGATTTCATTGAATTTCAGCTGCTGTTGACAATAAGACCGAAGGCGACTTTACCTGTAGTATGAAGGACGATAATGGCAATGAACTTGCCGCAACATCTGTCCCAGTGACAATATCACGTAAATATTTCCTAAATATTGTTACATGTTTAGAAATTATAGGTTAAGAAATAATTCATTTGGTTTTGTATTTATCTGCCCACTAAATAGTCGGTAATATTATCAGCACATTCCAATGAACTCGACATTGTCAATCAACTAAAACAAAGAATAAAATGATAAATTCTATGTTATATAATTTGTCAAACATTCTTTACAGACACAAAGTTGGTTATGTTCTTCAACATTCGGACAATAACAGTTTCATTGCATGGCAATACTTATTCTCTTTTACCATATAAATTGTAAACTAAATTAAATATTTATAAGTCTCCGTTTGCAAACCATGTCTTTATGTTTCCTATCTAAACCCGTCTGAGAAAAGATGTTTTATTGTGTACACACACACATACACACACAGACACACACATATGTGCTGACCGAATTCTTTTTTTAAAATTTAAGTCAAAAGAAACATTTCTCGAAGCTTTACGAAAGAAGTACATTCTAATCAATTACTCCGTATTTATCGAAATATTTATTTAGCCATAACTTTGGAAGCATTGGCTGTTACTGACGACTACCCAACCAGCGTGAGATTGGTTTGTGCTGTTGGAGGAACGGCGTGGAGTAGACGATATATGTCATTTCATACTCTTACCTGGTGCCTCAGGAAAAATGGTGTAGAAACAGTTATCTCCACAAACGGAAAACTCACTGAAGCAATGCCTCGTCAGAAATACACATTGTTATTTGATGCCAGCAGTCACTTCGTAATACTTGATATATCAAGTAAGTGTATACGTATTATTCAAATGTTTAAATCAAAATAATCGCGTGTATTTATGCGTGTCCTCATGTCCGTTTAAAAAATAAAGCTATTCTCGTCTATTTGAAAGATGATTTAGTCGAATACGTCCACTTTGAAGGTGATGATTCAGTTCACCACTATAGTTTGACGTATTACCAAAAATTAAATGAATCGTATCATTCTGAAATCTTCATTTTCCAAGCTGCTGTAGTGAGAAAAATAACAAATATATATAAATAATAGAGAGAGAGAAACAGGAAACATAATTGAATAATACAAAGGAATAAAGAATATTTCTACGAAAAATGAAAATTATTTCATTTGCATACTACATAATCATATCAAACCACAATAATATATACCTTAGAAGTAAAATTGTAACTGAGGAGTCCAACATTTTTTATAAAGACGACATGTATGGTGGAAGAAAATCTTGAAGTAAACAATCAATCCTGCACGAGTGACAACGTACATTTGTACAAGTATAAACCGGGAAACTAACCCAAGACTGCAGGTATGGAAAGCAAGCACGTTACCTCTAACCCTAAAAAGGTTTTTAAATAGTAATGTTTGTTTCGTTTTAGACCTGAAACCGGAGGATAATGGTGAATATATCTGTCGGCTAGATAACAGCAACTCAGGCAGTACGGTCAGAGAAAAAAGTGTTAATATAACAGGGAAAGGTAAATCGCCTTTATTCTGAACGTTAATCCAACTGCACGTTACGAAATGATTAAGATTAAAATATCTGGACAAAAATTAATTTTGATAATACATAGAAACATTGTGTCACTTATTATCTAGATATTGGCTAGACAACTATTTATTTTTTTCTTTAGTGACTTCTAATCAAAATGTTAAATAAATTTTAATCTTCTTAATCAAATGTTAATTGCTAACTAGATAAACAATGTATATACTGTTCATACATGCCATATGCCTATTCATTTCAGGTACACGTAGATCCAAGACTGGTGTCTAAAGATATATTCATAAGCATCCGATCTCTATACATATCTCCAAGAAGCTCTCAACCTGACTCAAACACCTTGACTTGGAATATCTAACCAAACCGCTATTTATTTATATTTTGAGGGAACGGGAGAACATTGAATGTATTATCAACCTTCGTGGGAAGGCTGCCATATACTTCATTCCTAACATTATTGACTTTTTTTTGTTGAAAAAAATCAAAATATGCAGATAATTTTTAATATTAAATCATTAATATTACCATACCATTTTGTCTTTCGTTTTTTAATATCTCGCCCTTTCGTTCCTTCGTACCGATGTATGGGTAATTTTTTCAGTAATCTTTTAATTATATTCTACTAATGTGACGAAAATTTGGAAATAATTAGTTAAATCATAGACGGGTTTGTCTTTCCTTATCGAATGGTTTATTGCCTATTTATTTATGCGACCGTTCCGGTGGCCTAAGTGGTTAGAGCATCCGCCTCAAATGCCGAAGGTCGCGAGTTCTAACCCCATCTGAGTCATACCAAAGACTTTTAAAATGGCACTTGCAGCTGCCAGGTTTAGCGCTCAGTGTTAAGAAGTTAGTGTTAAGAATGGTCCTGATTAATGCCATTGGGTGAAACATGATGCCATATATCCTCGGCACGACGTCCCATTGCTAAGCATCACTAGAAACAGCCACACTACATATATACTACAGACATACTACAGGCATACTACAACCATACCCATACCACAACCATACAACAGCCATACTACAGCCATACATCAGACATGCTAGCAATATGATTCAGATTGTTAAAAATATGTTAAAAATCCAAATACACAACACATTCATACAGACACACTCACTAATATGGCTGGCAGGCGTGAGTGTAGCGTAATCAGTCAGGAAGAAAACGTTTAGTCTGGTTCCGACATGTTGATGTTAACAATATATGCAATACACAAAAACAAGTAGTCATAAATATAAAACCTGCCTTCCAATTTAATTTTGCTCCAGTAATCCGTGATTACATACGGTTGTACATCCCACAACGATGAAAGGTATGGTAATTTGATGAATGTCTGAATTCTAATTTTAAAAGTCTAGATTTTAAATGTTGAGTTTATAACAAGCCCAAACACTAGATATAGCAACCCCTCCCTTACAGCGATGCTAACAATCGTTGGTGATATGGTATTATTTTAGTTAATGAAACTGATGATCTAGAGAAAACATCGTACCTAATTTTGCAATTCGGACTGTTTTTAGACATGTTCACGAACGAGAAATTGCAAATCGATAAAAAGATGTTTTCCTAGAATACATTGCGTAACCTATCCAAACCAGTTTGAGGCAGACATTTATTTCTAAATATTTCATATTACAAACGGAGAACTATCTGAACCTCTCAATTGTTTTGAAAAGTTCTTAGTCCGTAGTATGCACAGAGCCATAGAAAGCGATCATGAGCTCTGGGGTAAAAAACACTCGTATCTCCTAGTTTTTGTTTGAACAAAAGTTTTCTTTTATAAAATTAAAAAAGTGTTGTTCGATCCGGGCCCCCTTATGGGCCAGGACTCCGATCATATATCCCCGGTTTCCCACCCCTTCTTGTCGGCCCTGAGTATGGCTAGGTGGTGTAACATCGCATTGAAATGAAGAACTGGGAAAATTTAAACGCCAAAGAAAACACAAATGAACCCAAAGTCCGTAGTATTCATTGACGCAGTCTTAAATGCCTATATTCACTGGAGTAATTTAAAATTTATTTCCAAATGTAAGTAATTGTAAAAATATAGAACACATTAAACTAAAAAGTTTCCATGGAAGAGATAGAGAGATTATTTTTTTCTTCCTCGCTGCGATTACCAACAATCACATTTGCATGTCGTTTTGACTCTAGTTTGGTTATACATTATGAAGGGAAAGAAAAATAAATTTGGCCTTGCCCAACTTCATTACCTTTTCCGATATTCGCATACAAATATGTGTAAACTTTTATGTAATCGTATCAGTATTAGCTGCAAAATTTAATTATATAAACTGAGCAATTTATTCTTTTTAATTCACTGACGTACGAGCCAATAAATAGACTGCTTCAAATGTATAATGGAGCTCTTTCATACAATTTTCACAACGGTTTTATTTTGATAATAAGTCCATTAACATAAAAATAAATAGTCAATTCTCAAACATTTCATAAGTTGAACAACAAATTACCGACATTTTCAACACGAAAGATATTGTAAATTTGAGTACAAGTTTGGACGAGATACAAGTCTATAGTAAACGTTGCACGGGTCATATCAGCGCATTTACTGGTATAAATTTAAAAGCTGCTTTTAGACATAAAATTTAATCGTAATGTTGTTATAAACAAAAGTTTATTCGATCGTGATTACTAAGTGATCTACACAATTACTGTCATAAATTACCAGACAGAAATTATCGATCGCTATGGACCTTTACAACGACAGTTTGACATTAGACTGGGTCAAGAAAGACAATATTGAATTGAACTATTGCATGTGCAGTAGAGATCTAGGTATGATGGTCGAGTGCACAAGTCGCGTGCATTTTGCCTCAACTCAGGTATGGTTGTTTAACTATGAATGGGATAGAAGAATAACATAGAATAAGCTTTATTCTTATCTTGTACATATGACATTTCTTAAAAATGATAATTTAGCATGATTTAAAATTTAATTAAAATACATCTGAATTGATAGCCGTGTTTCAACTGTATTTTACGTGTACGAAGGAACATGATGAATGGGGAAAATAGTTATTATGTACGAACTGAAATAAAGACATGAAATGCTATACAAAAGATATATACGAAGTTTCATAATTACCCACAATTTATTGAACTTGTGTTCCGTTGTTTCTTCCTGACAATATTTTCACAGGGTTTGTTTATAAATGACAACATTGTTTTGTCTCTGTTGTATATGTTTATGGTACAACTTCTTCCCAGCCGCAGGTGCGTTCCTTCTTACATCACAGCACGACAAAACCGGTTTAAACGGAATCACCCTGCTTTCTTGACCGTGCCTAAAATTGTCAAAGCACGTTTATCACTATATTGGCCGTAAAGTGTTTTTCCAGATATTTATACAAAAATCATCAATGGAATTTTAATGGACAAGGCGAAATAACGTGAATAAATGCCATTTAAAGGTATGTATCAACAAATTCTCCAAAATGACAGAGCTAGCTTCAACATGTTACTCGGAGCGCACATTAGCTATGTATGTGGTACTTTATTCAAAGTTATGTGTGATGTATAAAAACATACGCATGAATATAACATAGTTGAAAAATTAAATTCGAGCATCCAACCAAATATTTGACAATGTTTAAGTACAGATTCTCAAAGGGCTGTTTCTAGAATGTTCTGAACTTAAACTTTATGGTAACTGGATATTTACAACCTACAATCGTGGACAAAGTATAGTCTTGTAAAAATCCTGTTTACAAATTGCCATTATCTTAAAGTACAACTTACAATCATGAACAAAACTGAAGCAAAAAATTTAGATATACATAACACTAAGGTATCAATATTTTTTAAGGTAATTATAGTTGAGGTCATATGCTAAACTTGCTTTAAAACGTTACTGAGCTTTTCTTTTACAACAATACCAGTGTAAAGTTGTATCAAAATTACTAGATTCCACCCTTGAACTATTGTTTCCATCCTGCATTACGCATCTCTATGGTTAGGATATTGTACTCTCGCCAGCAAGCAACATTGTTAAGTGAAACTGTTCATCTAAATTATATATTTGAATCCTATTGTAATTCATATAAACTATAGTGTTCACCCTTTAGTCTTGTATCTGTTCTTTGAATTATTGTCAGTTTTAAAGTTTATGTGTCAGCTATCTTTAGTGGCTTGTACTGCAATAATGTATTTCTTGTTTAGTGGGGTTTTTCTTATTTCGTTCAGTTCAGTCTATCTTTAAATGGTTAAGGCGAGCTATCAAACGTTTAATGCTTCAAATTGTGTTGCAAAATAAGGTCTGATTGCTAAATGTTATAATGTGAAGTCCATTAGATATTTAACTCAATTTAAATGAAAATTTATTTTTAACAATCAATAATCATTGTTATAGCATCGGACTAAATAAAACGAAACATTATACCATCTTGGTATTGGCTATTATTTATATTATTATTTCCTATGTCATTGCTCTCCACATGGCCATGTTAATTCCGTTTTTTACAAAGAAATACTAAATTATTTCTAAATTTTATTGTTTATATTTGTTTTTAAATTGTTCTACTATTATTACATTTCTGTTTGTTACTTTTACATTTAATTGTCCAAATTATATTAATTTTATTATATTCGTTAAATTATACTTTCTAAATAGAGTTTACAAAGCATAGTTTAATGTTTACTGCGTATTAGCAGACACGATTGACTAATGAGGTTAATAAGTTTTAATTACCTAAAACATGAAGACTTGAAATGTCAATGCTCGTGCCATTTTGTGTATTTTTTAAATTTAATATATGATATTTACACTAAATGGTTTCAGTTTCATTTGACTTGGTTAATAAACTCTAATTGACTAAAGCTTCTATACCTAATAATCTTAGAGCTTTTACTTTCAACTGAAGCGTATTGCATAAGTTTTTAATCCGTGTCAACGGAGTATGTATCCTCTATTTATTCTTCCCCCAAGCCCTGTACACGTTCTCCTGATTAATGGTTGGTATGATTATTCATATATATTCTTAACCAGGCTATGATGATCAGGATAAAATATGTTGGATCTTTTTATGAGCATAACCATCCAGAATATATTTCTCCCGTTAATCCGAGCAGGTCATTTGTGGTATACACAAAAATGGAAATAACTAGCAATACCACTGTGCCTTGAAAGGATTCGACAGAAGAATAAAACGCTACCTAGATTAATTGAATATCTAAGGTAACTGCGGTGCTTTATGTTGATACATCTAGTATGAAGTATGGCATTCATAACATAAATTGCTACTGAAACGTCACACTGTCATTTATCTTTCTCAATGGTGTAGCCACGACCGTCGTCACATATGTTACAGCAAAATGACATCAAAGGGGCACAGTGTCCTGTCGAGACATTGGAACTTTAACCTCTTGCCCTGGTCTGTCCCTATAGATTTGTTTGTTGTTTTTTCTTTTGACAATCTGTACATCATGTACATGTGTCTTGGCAACACATACACACTATATATATATATATATATATATATATATATATATATATATATATATATATATATATATATATATATATATATATATATATATATATATATATATATATATATATATATATATTCAAGTTAATTAGTTCAGATCCTTTGATGTTGTTGTTGGGCTTAACGCCATTTTTCAGCACACGATAGGCTATTCATGGCGGCCAGTATTAATGGCGGAGAAAGAAACCGGGAAATCACCGGAAAGAACCACCGACCCACGAGAAGCTACTGGCAAGTTTTCTCACATATCTACATTAGCCGAATCCTAGACTCGAACAC